GAGCCACAGCCGTGTGTACTAGATGAATATGGAGATCCTTATAAAATGTGGTAAAGACCCTTCCGGTGAACTGTGTTCCATTATCATTAATAATTTTTGCAGGAATGTCAAAGCGACATATTATGCTCTTCCACAGGAACTGTTTGGCATTTGCTTCAGTGATCTTAGTTAGTGGTTCTGCTTCTACCCATTTTGTGAAATAGTCAACAGCCAATATGATGAACTTTCGCTGTCCCGTGGCTATAGGAAATGGTCCCATTATGTCAATCCCCCATTGGGCAAAAGGCCAGGGACTCTGTAATGTCGATATCTCTATGGCGGGTAGATGAGTGAGGTTGGCGTGCAACTGACAGCTTTTACACTTCCGTACGAGTTCTAATGCGTCCTGTTTTATCGTTGGCCAGTAGAACCCTTGTCTCAGGACCTTTTGGGCTAGCGCCCTTCCGCCCAAATGCTCCCCACAAATGTCCGAGTGTACTTCGCGAAGCGCATAGTTCGCCTCCGAAGGAGGAAGACATTTGAGGTATGGTCCTGTGAAAGATCGTTTGTACAACTCTCCGTTAATAATGGTGAAGTTGGCTGCTTGTCTCCGAAGTCGTACTGCCATAACTGGGTCTTCAGGGAGAGATCCTTCTTGTAGGAGAGCTAGAATGGGATCGATCCAAGAAACTTCTTTTGATTCATCTATTGATTGAAGTACCCACGAGCCTTGAATGCTCGGGAAGTGGATCTCCTCAATGAATTTTCTTTTAAAAACATCTCCCGTTGTAGAGGTTGCTAGCTTGGAGAGTGAGTCTGCCCTTGCGTTTTGCTCTCGAAGGATATGGATGACCTGATGCTTTGCTATTTGAGCCAACAAGGTTTTAACTATCTGATAGTATTAAGCCAAAAGTGGGTTGTGAGTATCGAATTCCCCTTCTACTTGAGAAGCAACCAGTTGGGAATCAGTGTGAACCACTAAGTCTTGGACCTCGCAATCAATTGCAAGCCTCAATCCAGCGATCAAAGCTTCATATTCAGCAACATTGTTTGTTGCTGGGAACTTCAGTCTAAGCCCGTATTCGAGTGTGGCTTTCTGTGGGGAGATTAATAAAATTTCAGCACCAGCACCAGAGCTCCCAGAAGCTCCGTCTACATACAATGTCCAGCAGGAGGAGGAAGGAGACACATCAGGCGATTCCTCGGAGGTGTAGCTAGTACATTCGACCACAAAATCGGCAAGCACCTGTGACTTGATGTCGGGTCTAGGTAGGAATTGTATATCGAACTCTCCAAGTTCTACTAACCATTTAATCAATCTTCCGGATGCCTCGGGTTTTTGAAGAATATTTTTCAGTGGTAGGTTTGTATATATCCTGATCGTGTGTGCCTGAAAATAAGGTCGTAACTTCCTGGCTGAGAAGACTAATGCTAAGGCTGTTTTGTCTGCCAATGGATAACGCATTTCAACATCTGAAAGTATCTTGCTGATGTAATAGACTGGGCGTTGAATTGAATCATCCATCCGAATCAAGACCGAACTTATAGCTTGAGAAGAGACGGCCATGTACAAATACAAAATTTCCCCTGGAATTGGCTTTGAGAGTAGCGGTGGTGAGGCTAGATAAGTCCGGAGTTGTTCAAAAGCTTCTTGGCATTTATCAGTCCATTGGAATCCTGAGCTACGAGCTCCTCTGAGAATCTTGAAGAAAGGCAAATA